CCTTCGCTTACTCTGGAACCAATGTGAGTAGATCCGCCTCTCAGCTCGCCTCGTCTTTACTAACAGGCTTCAAAGGGCCCCCTGAACTGGGTTGCTCTGGACGCTACCGCCAACGCCCTCTGCGCCACCGGAAAGACTCAGTCCCCCATCGACATGGTTGCCGGTGCCTTCAACACCCTCCCCGGCAGCTCCATCAACCTGCAGATCCCCAACATGGAGGAGACCGAGTTTGAGAACCTGGGAACCACCGTCGAGGTCATCGCCAAGGGAGGCTCGATGCAAGTTGGCGGCTCCAACTTTACCCTCCAGCAGTTCCACTTCCACCTGCCTAGCGAGCATCTCGATGCCGGAAGGAGCATGGCCATGGAGATGCACATGGTTTTCGAGGGAGCCAACCAGGAAATCGCCGTCATTGGCACCTACATCGACGTTGAGCAGGGCGCTGCTGCCGCTGCCCCCGTTACCGAGGCCCCCGCCGCTGAGGCCGCTAAGAACAAGACAACTGCCGCCGAGCGCCGCAGCAAGATGTCCCGCCGCGCCTCTCTCGACGCCGCCAAGGGTGCCGAGGGTGCTAAGACGATACCCAGCATGACTCTGAGCCCCGTCAAGGCTGAGGCTGCCTCTTCCAACCTTCTCGCTACCGTCTTCTCTTCTCTGGATGCCATCAAGGAGCCTGGCACGGTCACCAAGACTGGTGCCCTCGACATGCAGGAGGTCGTTACGCTTCTCAGCGCTGGCCAGTTCCAGAGGTAAGATAAAAAATGCCTGACACCAAGACTATCACTAACTTTGCTGCAGCTACATGGGCTCTCTTACAACCCCTCCCTGCTCCGAGGGTGTCCAGTGGCTTGTCTCTACCCAGCGCCTCATGGTCCAGCCCCAGACCTTCAACGCCGTTCGCGATGTCATTGGCTTCAACGCGCGCTTCCCACAGAACACCCTCGGCCAGGACAACATCCTTCAGGTCGCCCAGAAGACTGTTGCCAGTGTCAACGCCGCTGAGCCTGCTGCTGCTCCTGTCGCTGCCGCCCCTGCCGCTCCCGCTGCCGAGGCCGCTGCCCCTGCCGCTCACGCATAAACAACTACCGCGAACGGTGACGATTGCGACGAGACGATATCATGACAGGACACTGGAATCACTCAGCGCGGGATGAACTGGGAACACAAGGTTGCGGGATGCCTGTTTTGAGTTCGACTGCCCGGCGTCATGCGAGTCGATGGGTGAAGGGAGGATCCTCCGTCGGAAAGAAAAGCCCCGGGCGCAACATGCGCAGCTGAGACAAGACTACAGTGTTTTTTACGCGAGCCAGCTGCGCGAGTGTCTACAGACATGACTAATTGAAGGACAGTTGCACCCGGGCATCTCATTTGTCTACGAGAAAACATGTGTAGATATCCAGTGATTTCCTTTGTGGTTGCCGTCTGGCTTAGATGAAAGACGTCTATTCTTGATGTACAAGATGGGATGAATGGCTTGGCAAAAAAGAGCGGTTGGCAACAAACTAGACACAGTGACTCGTTGGGGGAGATACCACGGGGCTCCAAAGTCCCAATGCATAGCATTCGAGTCAAGATACCTAATGGATAAAAGATATGAAGAGTATACATAATTCCGTTGGGAAGAGTCATGAGTTGCGAGTCATCCTTCGCTTCTTACCTACCTAGCAAATGACGTGCTTTTGGTCGAGCCCTAAGTTGCATCTCCCCGCCGGGGAGATGTTCATTATTTATCTCTTTCAGCTTTCACGTTTGGCCAAGATACCAAGACTGCGTAAATAGAAGCGCCACGCGCGCATCATTCTGCTAGAAGTGGGAAAATCAGCAAATCTTGGGAGACGGGCACGAGTTCAGTTTTCTTGGCACGCCGGTTGCGCGGCTCTTCAGGCGACTCATTACAGGGGTGGGCTTGCTTGCGGATGGGTTTGGGTGCGAGTCGTGGTGGCGGCGCAAAGTTGGCCGTTGCGGTGGGACGGCCTGAAAGTCCGTGAGACGTTGTTGGGTAGGGGTTTCCGTCGGTCGAGTTTTCTGAGAGCCGTGATGTGAAGGATGGCAGAGGTGAAAGTGCCGATCAATCCAAGAGGTGTTGTGTTTGTGCTCTTTGGCCTTGTCGGTATGAGGATGCGGGAGGTTGATTAGAGATAGATTAAGCGGCTGCGGTGAGGCTATTAGTGCAGCCCTACGCTGATTAGATGCGTCGGCAGAAGACTTGGGCACGGGGACTTTTGCATGGCCGGGGTTATCTCGCTGTTTTTGGGGCTGCATGAATTTGATCTGATTGATAACGAGAACGAAGAAGGTAAGGAACTTTTGGGATACGCTTGCTGTTTTTCCGTCTTTTCCGTCCTTCGCAACAAGGGGGTTCGTTGTTTGTAAGGATTAGGTTGGGGGGGGGGGAGGTTGTCAGTCGGATGGTTTGAAACCTGGCCGACGACTCGTGCCGGTGGTCGAGTAAGGGAGTCAGGGGTTAGGGTTGGTGAAGAGGAGAGGGTGAAAGGGTGGTGTTCGTTAGATTAGGTGGTTTGAGTTCATTGGTGTGGGTGACGCACCGCACCCGTTGGGATGGCTGACTGTGTTTGTGCGAGGACACACGCCAAAAGACTGGATGACTCCGGGTGGTGGTGTGGGATAGATGTATACAGGATGATTCATCGGGACGACGCCGATCGGACCCGTTCTTTTCTCGGGCCCGGTGTGCCGGGACTAATGTCTTACTGGCAGGTGCGAGTTGTAGATAATAATTTGGGAGGTAAGCCGGACGTATAAGAATCTCACGGGCCGTTTCCCGGAAACCAGTCAGACCACTCTTCACACTCCCACCAAATCCATCCCAACAGCCTTCACCTAACTTGGGCTTACTGATAACACCGTAGAGATGGACGACCCCGCATCGCACCTCCCGCCCCTGCACCCCCCCGCCACGATCCTCGCCCTCGCCGCCTCCCTCGGCCTCCCCGCGCCGACATCCACCGAACCGCTCACCGTCACGGCCGCCTTCCACCGGATCTACCTGCTCCACTTCCCCGCCTCGGCCGCGCCCGCGCTGGCGCCCGCCAGACCAAACGATGACGGCAGCGTCACGCTCGTGCTGCGCGTGTCGGGCGACCACCTCCCGCGCATCAAGACGGAGAACGAGATCGCGATGATGCGCTGGGTGAGGGAGAACACTAGCGTACCTGTGCCTGCGGTCGTGCGGTGGGACAGCGGGTGTGAGAACGTGCTGGGGTGCGAGTTTAGTTTGCTCGAGAGGGTGCGGGGATGTAGTGCTGATAAGGTGTTTTGGGGGATGAGCGGTGCAGTGAGGAGGAGGGTTGTCGAGCAGCTGGTGGGGTACCTGGCGGAGCTGAGGGAGAAGTCGCGGTGGAAGCACGTCGGCGGGTTGAGGGTCGACGAGGCCGGGGAGATTGTGCCGGGCCCGGTGGTGGACGAGTGGTTCTGGATGGCGCCGATGGTGGAGCGGTTCTGGGCCGGCACGGGCGAGACGGTGGAGAGTCTGAACCCGGTCGACGGGCCGTTTCCCTCGTGGGCGGCGCATGTGGACGCGGCGCTGGGGCGGTATGTGCACGTTATCAGTCGGCATGCGGCGCTGCAATGGGCGAGGGGGTTGGTGCCCCGGCTGGAGGGGTTGCGGGCGTGGGTGAGGGAGGAGGAACATGAGCGGGAGATGGGGGATACGGTGTATGTGCTCGCGCACCGGGACTTGCATCTGGCGAACGTGATGGTGGACGAAGCTGATGGGACGGTGACGGGGGTGTTGGATTGGGAGTTTGGCGGGGTTGTGCCGGGGCCGAGGTGGGATCCGCCGAACGCGTTTCTGTATCCGTGGGGAGGGGAGGGGGAGGAGGCGAGGAGGGAGAGGGATCGGATGAGGGGGTGGGCGCGGGAGGTTTGTAGGGAACGGGGGATTGGGGAGGATGTTGTTGACGGGGTGAAGTACACGGCGGTGCAGGAGAGGGTGCATCTGGTTGTGAACCATGTGAGGGCGATTTGTGAGCTTTGGAGGGAGAGTAGGGAGAATGAGAGGGCTTGGGGGAAGGTGGTGGAGGAGGAGCTGACCAAGCTTAGATTGTAAGCTTGATCATCCTTTTGAAATATCAAGGTACGGGAAGGCGAAGCGGGGAAGATGTCACGATGTCTACTTGCTGGTGCCGTCGCGTGTCTCTCTCTGGCCTCTATGGAGGCACGGAGGCTAGCTTTACCAAAAGGGCCACCAGGAACTGCAATGTCTTGGTTTTCGGTGAACTATCGTGGCTATGCTGCTTCACAGCCCGTCAATGTGGACAAATGATGATCAAATCGTACCTGAGTGTAGGTGGGGCTGCAGCGATGATTTATCATGAGAAGGCCCCTTGCCTGTTTTGTGCCATGCTTACATCCAACCGGGTTTGCTTTCACACTCCCCTGTTTGTCCGACGTGGACGAACTGTTTTTTGGCTTGGCCAACTTCGCTTCTTAGGCTCAGCCATCCCGGGTACGTGACCCGATTGTAGTTTGCTTTCTTTTTCTTCGTGTCAGTGAGGTGAACAATGGCCAATTTTCCGGCTTATCCCGATTTGATGTTGAAGAAGCGATTCTGCTATGGAAATCCTACTTTGTTATTTAGATGACATTAATTCGCAGCAATGGCTAGCAGAGCCAAAGTATCATGCCATCAACCAATCAGCGGTTGCATCATAAATTTCTGTTACTCGTGGAACAGGCCGACAATATGAGGTTGCGTTGTACGCGGACTTGTCTCACTTCTTTTCCCGATACGCAAATGCTCTTTCCAAATCCTTTTCCACCAGCATGTCCCCATAATGTTGCATTCTATAAAGCTGCCAGGCCGCCGAGCCTGTAATTCTCTGCACCACATATGCTACACGTTCTTTCTTCCGGAGAGTTCATGATCCCACATTCGGTTCCTTTCTCTATCACTCCCTCTCGGAACTTTTGACCCCTTGGCATTCACCCACGTCAGACTCATTCATTCTCTATCGTCCCCGTGCTCGCTTCCCCTCATCATGGGCAAAATCTCTGTGCTGAGCGATGGATTCGTGGACAAAAGGCCCGACAGCCAGCGCAGCCGTCGAGGGGTACTTAAAAGAGGATCCAAGTGGCTTGTGGAGAAATCCAGGAAATCACCCGGGTGGCTTGCTGAAAACCTCAATCTCAAGCTGAATCATCACCTCGACAAGAAGAGCATTCACAAACTGGATCACAAGAAGCTTCTGGTAATCATGGGAAGCGCAAGACGAGCCGTATCTGGTTCCGTCTTCGGTGTAACCGCATCTTCCGGGCTCACCGCTGCCTGCCCTCCGTTCGGCGTGTCCATCGCCGTGAATCTCTGGCAGTTGGGCATACCGTCAAGGAATTGCCATCGCGTCAGAAGGGAGATAAAGTCCCGTCGATCGTATGACGAGTCATTCAGAAAAGAGGAGGAGGAGGAGTACAAAGCGAAGAAACGCCACCACCCGTTGGTAGATGTTGTGCTTGGCGTCACCCTCAAGGCCGCGTGCATGTCAGCGACTTTGGGTATCATTGGCTTCGACAACATAGGAGACGCCTTCGTAGCGAAGTTCGCTGACAAGATCACCGATGCCACGTATGCCGCTGCTTCTGCAGTCCATGCTCTCCCCGTTTACGGTCATATGCCACTCCACATTCACGTTCCGGAGCATACCAACGTCAGCATTCCCGATCCCACGTCAATGTTCCAAGATGCCAACGACAGCGACATTCCATGCCCCGCCACGCAATTAGCGGAAGAACCTCTCATGGCCCACTCCATGACTACAGATACTGTCGACATGCCAGGCGCTGCTCTGACAAAGAACACTCTAACCGATGTTTCGGCAACCGTCCAAACTACGACCATGAACGAGATGAATCTAGCAAATGTAGATCTGCCGGAAGCACCCGCAACGGCCGATCTTGGGCCCGGTCATGATACTGACTTGACCAGCCCCGCCACCAACAACTCTGTCGCAGCCGGGTCGTCCGTATCAGGGGCCGAGAAGCTTGAAGTCGAACATCTGACAACCGAAGTGTCCGGATCGGGGCCCGAACAGTTTAAAATTGAAGCGCCTACATCAACCGCCGAGCAGCTAAAAATCGACCATCCTAAATCATACGGCCTGAACAACGCAAGAAGCAACGCTTTCGGTCTTGGACAAGAGATTGGGGAAAAGATAAGCCAACACGTCGTTGACGATAGTGTCAAGATTGTCATGGAAGCAAAATGGGACGATTTGAAAGACCTACACGACAACTGGAATCTTTCCATCGCTAAGATCCTCGGATTGGTCGTTCTGATCGCCCTGGTGAATGAGATATTCCAGCCGATACCGCATGCAAGCAGCCTCGTTGCGGAAAAGGCTATCGATGCCTGGAATGGTGGACAGTTGAGCCGTGTGGCGGGAAAGGCTGTCGACGCTTTTAATGATGGACAGTTGAGCTATGTGACAGCGCGGCTTGCGCATATAGTTGGCCGGTTGTAGACGCATTCGTCGTTAAGAAATCATGGAATTTGACTATGAGCAGGAAACATGAGGAGATACACACGTTGGCATTGACGGCAGTTCTGGGTTCATTCGCGATAGTAATTCTCAAGTTTGCGAAATTTCAACAGACACAGATACACAAGTCCTGTCTTTTTTTTTTTTTTCCCTCAATCAGTGTTGCGCAGAATCTCTAGCGTGCCCATGCGGTCTTCTGACCGCCTTGATCCGCTATCTGCGCAAGGTTTGTTACGGTAAAACTGACTTCGGACAAAGCGAGGCTCTGAGTTGAATAGTATTGAATGAAAGCATTTGTATGCCACATCAAGACAGCCATTGTGCTTAATTACTGCAGGATAACCGTCACTACTTAAGAAGCAGGCAGATGTCCTCCTCAGTCTTGATTTGTGAACCACGCCTCAAGCATAAGGCATGTGGTTCTTTCACAGAAGAGACAACTTATCCACGGCGATAGCTCTAACAGAACTTAGTTCATCTCGAATGATAAGCACCTCACATTCCCGTCCTTTGCTTCTGAGAGGAACTGGTGCTAGTAAACGGCATGTCGAAGCTGGCCACAAGCGCGAAGGACACCACATTCTTAAATGCCCTGTCGTCCCCATCACTCCTTCTTGGCACCCTCCTGCGGTCCAGCCAAGGCGTTGACGACAGCCTGCAGCGCGGCACGGTCCGCACCCCTCACCCGGTCAACCAGCCCCTCGCTGGTGAAGCTCACAGACTGACGGGGCTTCAGGCCGGGGACCTCGATGCCCTGGGGCTTGCCGTCGCGGAAGAACACGAAGGTGGGCATGGCGGTGACGTTGTACGTCTTGGCGATGGCGTTGACGTGGTCGACGTTGACCTTTGCGAAAGCCAGACTACCCTCGGCGGCGTGCTTGTCGGCCCACTCAGAGAAGACGGGCGCGATGGCGCGGCAGGGCGGGCACCAGTCGGCGTAGAAGTCGACGATGACGTGCTTGGTCGAGGCGAGAAGCGCGTCCAGCTCGGCTTGGCTGGTCAGCTTGTAGACTTTGCCGGATGTCTCGGGGATCGGCGAGCGGTTGGCGAAGAGCATCTAGATGGGATGTCAGTAAGGATTCAGGGTGAGGTTGATGGCGAAAGCAGTCCGTGGTCTCTTCGACAGGCGGCAGGGACGGTCGGGCGGCTTGGTGGCCCAGCTGAATTTACTTACGCGAGCGATGAAGAATATGGCGACTGCCAAAAAGATGTACGTTGAGGTCTCCATCGTGAGTCTCTCGAATCGCCTTGAACGTGCGAACGATGACAGTTGGCGCAGCAGGTGAGTGTGAGGTGAGCGTTGAAGAAGTTAGAAATGTGAGCGAGCCCGTACGATGGCGCAAAGGTGATTTTACCCCACTCTAGAATTCAAAATGGCCAGCTGTGCATATCTAGAATCCCATCTGGTGCCAGATGGCACCCGAAGCCAGACTGACAACAAGTACCCATTCCGAACTATCTACGGTGTAAGTAATGTCGTCATAAACTTCATTAGCCCTATCTGAACCCCTTTGATGTCTTTTTTGCTTGTGATACTTTTCTGGCCCCATTTCTCATCTGCTCCATCAGGCTCCTCGATTATCGGGCTTGGAAACAATTACGATAGGTATGCTGGGTACGTGCACCTACCTGTTCGATTTATCCGTCAAGTCCTCGAGATACACAAGTTGCCAGATGCAAACACTTTGAAGAGAAAATGATTTTGTTTCATCTCCAGTAGCGGTAAAGATACAGAGTCTCTCGAAGTCTATTGCAGACCCAGCACCATGCTAATATACTTCTACTTACGACCCTGTTCAACCTGCTCCATCGCATCCAACGCAGCCCCTGCATCCTTGCGGGCAGCATCATCAACCCCTTCCGCATCACGAATTGTCGCGAATCTTTCCTTCCATAGACCCCATCTATCTGAACAGAGTCCATCGGTTCCGCGAAGCTTGCGATGCAGCTTGACTGCTTCCTTCTTGTCCAGCTTCCAAAGCGGACCGGCCGTAGCTCCATGCACCTCTTCATCCCGCCCGTACAGACGGTGGCCAGCGTACTTCATCCAGTTCGCAGCGATGGCGACTTTGAAGGAGATATCCGGTACCGCAGAAGGGTCCGAGTCGACCTCATCCGGGCCACCTCGAATGGGCTTCATTGTGCCCTCCAAGGCATCGACGGAAGCCCAGATCGCGTATATCTCAAACGGTACAAGGCCGAGTCCGGCTACTCTTGCGGCATAGGCCTGGAGATTGGTGGCTTTTTGCTTGTCCTGTTCTTCGGAAGTCTGCAGGTTCACTGAAATTCCAAAAATGTCAGACATCGTCATTACCACATGCGTGCTAGGATTGCTTACCAGTATCGAGCTTTTCGCGGAAGGTGTTGCCGAACATGGGCAAGCCCGTCCAGACAGGCACAGAATCGGCGCCGTCAGTGCCCCATTCTTGACCTAAGCTTACTGTCTTGGGGGGAAGGTCATTTAAAGATTTGATGACAGCTGTGAGTTGTTCTTGCTCCTGGCTGTTGTAGGGGATCTGCAACGCAAGGTCGTGTACCAGGTCCCAGAACCACCAGAGGAATGAACCCGCAGTGCCGTCTTTTTGGTACTGTTGATTGAACAACTCGTCAATTGCTCTGGCTGCATCCTCTGATGATAGCTTTTGTGACGAGGATCCAAGTACGGAGTTGATTATCTCAACGACTTGACCAGCAAAAGCCGGCGCGTCACCGGGGATCTGTAGCTGGACGCCAGACATGTTGGACTGAGGTAGGTATGTGGTGCTGCACTGTTGGATGTTCAAGGTTGCAAGAGAGTAGTGACGTGAGGAAGTGATGATAGTCAAGGTCGTTGGTGGGTGATAGAACTTCTGAAAAAACGGTTTGGGTAAGAGTTAGCCTGCTTAGAGCATGACGAAGTTGCGATGTAAGTTGGGGAAGCAGCTGCCTAGAGCAGGGGCGGCGGGCGCGGGACCCGCCGTGTAACGACCCGCCTAAAAATAGACTAGCTTCATTCCGGCCCGCGTTCTGCGCCCCCCGTCCCCGGTGAGACCCGTCTTCCCACGGATCTTTTAGCCGTAGGATCTGACAGTAGCACATATTTGTCAAGCCGACTTGCATGAACCTCGCTTTTCAGCTACTTTCTCCTTCCGTCCATCAAGGAAGGATTCGAGACCCTGTGGCTTATGTCTAGAAACCGAGATACATAGAGACATTACCGCCCACGGGCGGAGCTCGTCGTTGCCCAGCTCTGCCCGTCGTCCCTTTTCAAGGTAAGACAAAAACGGTCATGAGAAGGCTTTCGTGAGACTCTTTTCATCATCCTGTGAGCATCATTCCCCTTAAGGTGACGTTTCGACTGCGATGTTCAGCGGTGCAACCTGCATGGTCTTTTTGTTCGCCAGTACATTTTTAAGTCAGCCTTGGTCAACTCTCGAATGTCATTTTGAAGCCTGAAAGTCCCGAATAGAGTGATTATAATGTCTTGGAGCAACCTAGAACACGACGAATTAGGCTACAGCATAGCCTTCCCTGCGGATTAGGTTAGTCCTGGGAGCTGACATGCGGTCCAACTCCCCCACAGACGATCACTCAATTGCTACCATCCGGACTTAGACTTGGCTAAGAGAAGCTAGACCGCAAGCCCACGGCTATTCAGTGCCAACAACAGCCCCGGCAATTCGCTTTAAACTTTTTCATCTAATGCCTGCTCCTGAGAATTTATCCCGAATGCGCTCGATGCAACCCACACTCGGGCGACGGCATAGCCTGATGTATGAATTGGGTTACATACAACGTCTGACATGCAGTCTAGCTCTCCACAGCCGATCAATCCTTCAGTTCGTCTTCTCCGTTTCTGGGCGGTAGCTTGCACGTGGATCTAGAAACAGAAATCCCTTTGCTTTGCCTAGTGTTCCGATGGTTCTCGGGGTTGCCTAACGATGGTTCATGTAACGCCTTGTTATTGACGGTGGCTCGAATGATATATAATGCAGGCCTCAAAACCACAAGAGTTTCCGAATCATCAAACTCAACAACGCACACTCTCCAACAAACCACCAAGCAACTTAACAAACACGTTATCCTTGAACTCCAATCTCTCAAAATGGTTGCCTACACATACTTCCTCGGGCTCTTTGCCGCCTCAGTCGCCATTGCCAGCCCCGTTCCCAACCCGAACGAAGAGTTCTCCCTCGAGGCTCGTGCCGGTCAGGTACGAACAAACTCCTCCGTAGCACACACAACTTGAAAACATCAGTACACTAACATGGACTTAAACAACAGGTATACATCTGCAAAGCCGGTGCCAACAACGACGGCGTCCTCTACGGCGAAATCAGCCAGGACAAGGCCATCGGCTTCTTCCGCGATGCAAAGACCAAGACCGGGACTGGGAGCGGATACCCCAAGCCGTTCGGTAACCAGGGCAACGTGATGAAGTTTGCCAGCGGCTGCGGCAGCGACGTCTGGGAGCTGCCTGTTCTCAAGAGCGGCAAGCCGTACGATTACAACGCGAAGAAGGGCAGCAGCAACAGCCCTGGACCCATGCGGGTGTACTACACCAAGGATCTCAAGTTCTGCGGTATTGGAGGCAAGCTTAAGCCTGACGGTACCGGCAACCCTCACAACTGTGTCCTGAAGAAGTAACTGGTTTGAGGACGAGGTTCATGTAAATAATTCTATAGACACGTGAGCCGATGAAAGGGCGAATGCTCCAATCAGTACAATTTGCTTTATACAATTCCGTACTCCAAACACATCCTTCGACTATTGTTCCCTCCATTCAACTTGAAGGGCTGCCAAGAACTCAATATTTGACTTCGTAGAACACAAAGAAAGTTCTCAAGAACCGTAATCTTGTTTTCAATGAGGACCCTAGCGCGTCCCCAAAATCTGGCCCCTTCTCAGAAATCCCACATGCATTGCGACAAAGGCGTCTCTGGGTCGATCTCTTTGAAGGCCTTGATGGCGTCACGAATAGGGCCCGTCCGCTGTAAGTAACGTCTGCCCTGTTTACTGCTCGAGAAATCGTCGATGGACTCCATCAAGAATTCTGCATCGCAGCGACCAACAACAAGATCATTCTTGAGCTGATCACTGACGAACGATGACCAAATGCCCTTCGGCATGTGCGGTTTGCCGAGGCTGCCGAGCTTGTTGAGAAATCTGCTGCACAGAATGAAGACGGCAAAGAGGTTTATGCGAGCGATAGGCTGAGGTCCCTCGATATCCAGAAGGACCGTGTTCTTAGCCTTCTCCATGTACTCGGATAGTTTCAGCTTAGCCTGAGTGTCTCTGATCTTGTAGTACGACTTGGGGCCTAAAGCTGGTTGGTAGGGAATGCCGAGGACATCTCCGCGGAATAGCGCGCTGTTGTCGTGATTTGAAAAGTGCTGGTCAAGCAGATGGGAGTTGATTTCCATGAGCTGCGGGAGCTGTACGAATCCAGCTTCCAGGCGGAACATTTTGGAACCGCCACGCGAAACGTCGCCCTTCTCGACTTTGCTGTTGTACACAATGCGACGGAATGTGGAACAGAAGTTTCTCTCTGGCATGCTCCCTCCAAAGATGCTTTGAATGAGGACTCGGGAAAGTTCTTCGAACACTGGTATTCTAGGCGTCTCGGCAACGGAGCGGCGCATGGCGTTGTATAGATGCAAAGTAGCCGAGATGACTGCCCAGTCCGAATTTATGCGGAAGCCGTAACCGAAAGCCGCGTTTAGCAACTCCATCATGTGGCTGCCTGCGACCCAGGGCGACGTGTGGTACGTGTCGAAACTCTTCTCAGAGACGTAGGCTGTTAGAGCGTTGAGAAATTCGTGGAGTTGGCCCTGCCAGTATTTGGCTCTGTCGCAATTTGGAATCATCTCATTGACGGCCTCCAAAACTGGCAAGACGCTCTTTCGCATGCCGATAGCCAGGCGGATTGACTTGAAGCGGTAATGAGGCCGGGTGATTGTGGCCTCCGAGGTAGTGATCGATTCTTCCGTAAGAAGGTACAGGTTAAAAGCCGCGGCTATTCTCGACGAGGCCAGGAGGACGCTTTGCGAGAGGTAATCTCTGGCAGTGAAGAAGAACGAATCGCAGATCGGAGTGAAACACCCGCATGACAAGGGTTTCGTGGCTTCCAAGATACCGATTGCTCGTTCTGTGTCGAGGTCGGCACGAACGATGTCGAAAATTGAGCACACCATCGCCTTGTCAGACTCGGAAAGCTCCTCTCCAACCTCTGCAGTGTGGCTACCACCGAAAGCAGCTTCGTATGAGGCATTGAACTTGCAAACACATCCAGGGTTGTGGCAAATCATGTTCTTTCCTTGAATCATCGGCCTCGGTTCGCCTGAGAGCGTTTGACCGTATTCGTTGACGGTCTGGGCGAGCATGAAAAAGCGGCGTGCGTCTGAGACGAAAGATCTCGGATCGACCTTGTCGGAGAGTTGTGAAAAGAATTGGCTCGTACACTCGGGGGAGACGGACATGGCGACGCAAACCTGTACGAACTTCGGCGGGGTTCTTCTGGCGATTGTGTACATGGCGAAGTTGGTCATCCAAGCCGCCAAGGGCAACGGCAGGGTGCCGCGAGACGCATCCATCCAGCACTTCTTGAGCAATGTGTGGACACTGTCCAGCTCCTGACCTCACGTCAGCTGAAGATTACAAGCTCAGTGAGGTAGGAATGGTATTTACCATTATGAAATACGCAGCCTCGAACACCTCGCGGATGTAATCATCTTCCAAGAAAAAGTCGGACGGTGTGCCGGACTCGTTCGAGGGGTCCGCAATATACGAAGAAGACAAGGGCGAGCTGCGATGCTTGTGGCCGGTTTCGATGGGGGCGTCCTCTCCGTCGAGCTCAGACTCAACAGTCGGGAGGTGGTAAAAGCGATTGGATGAGGGCTCATCGTCTGTGTTGGATCCGTCTACCGAAGGAGCTCGGTTATCCTTCACCAGAGGAGTCAGTGTGGAAAGGACTTCCTCGAGTCTGTTGCCTGTCAGTATTGAGCCCTGTATTCAGCTCTGGAAAGTCAGACCTGTCAATGAATGCATCGTGCCCGTGGTGACCAGCGCCAAACTGCTGGTAGATGTCAGCGACGAGCTTCCGCGTTTTAATCGCCTTTCGAAGAGACCCGATCACGGAGACCGGAACCTTCGCTTTGGACTCTTGCAGCAGCTGAGATGTCTTCAGAATGTCGGCTGTGGACTTGAACTTCAGGTCGGTTTCGGTGGGTGCTTTGAGGCGATGCTGGCACCAGAGCCAGGTCAAAAAGTCATTCGTCAACTTCTTGTAGGATCTGTAGAGCTCCGAAATCGATCTCGTGCTAGTAGTAGCCATGGCGAATTTCGAAAAGTCCGAGATGCCGGCCCGGCTTGTGTGGAAGCAGAAATGGTTAGGAAATCAAGTCTTCAAGGGCTCGAGCGACGGTGAAATGGGGAGTGTGTGGAAGCTTCTTTGGATGTTGTGTTTGTTTCCTCCTTCTGGTTTTTTTTTTTCTTTCGGGCTGAAATTTTGTGCAATAGCATGGAAGGAAAGAGTTTTAACCCTAAGGAGATTCCTATTCTCTGGAAATAGCTTTCTATTTTGTCGAGACCCTTCACTGCCTGCGAGTCGCAGCCGTCCGCACCGTGGGCGTTGACCCCATCGACAAGTACAAGCGTGTGTGAAGTTTCAAGCGAGTCTCTTTCAAACGCGTAGCACTGTAGTCACTGCGAAACACGTTCAAATTGTATTGGCTTTGATGACTGAGATCTCATTCGCAAA